ATCGGATTCAAGTGATTTTTTGTAGAGATGATATTTGAATGAATATCTACAAAATAGAAGGTTTGGATTAGTGAAATACAATCCGGAGTGGGGCCTATAAGGAATGTCCCACAAATAAGCTTATTTGAGGGATCCCTCAGTTGAAACTCTATGTGTGTGTGTGTATATATATATATATACATATAAACATGCTTTTTGTCTTTTTTATATAACCCATGTTGGTTTTTAGCTTTTTTGGTTTGTTTTTTTCTCTTTCTTCCTTCATCGGTTGTACAGGTTGGTGGGATTCAATTTCAGTGTTTATTAAAAACCATAGATTCATAGTGATCTAATGCCTGAAATTTGGGAGCATCCATGCACCTGGCGCATGGTAGAATTTTCACATAATGAGAATGAGCAGACTCTAAATAAGAACCAGGGCCAGAATGAGTAGGCCAAAAATGTAGCAAATGAGCAGGCCCAACATGAAACAAAATGAGAAGGCCCAAAATGTTGCAAATGAAACTCATGTTGGAGGTCAAAATATGCCAATAAAGAGGAGGGAAAATGCCAAACTTTTGGAGAAATTGTGCAGCAAGGTGGAGACAAAAGACCAAATACTTTTGCGGTAAATAAATTAGAAGACAATGATGAAGGTGATCATATGAATGCTGAATTAAGGGGTGCATCATATGGTGACGATATTGGGAGAAGGTTCCAAGAATACAATCCTGAAACTGACAGCAACAATCCAAGAATACAATCCTAAAATTGACAGCAACAATCTAATTTTTAAACTAAGAATGATGTTTGCAGATTTCCATGTGTTTAGAGAGGCACTTAGAACTTACTCACTGAAATATGGACACAAAATGTGGTATAAAAGAAATGCGAGGTTCAAGCTAAAGACACTTTGTATAACCAAGCATTGCCCTTAGAACATATATGCCTTGAGCAAGTGTACATTGGCTCACTACATTCATGGACAGAGTATGGGATAACAGCCTAGCAACTATACATTGGCTCACTAAACATTCATGGACACAGTCCAATCTAATCCTTCAATTCCTCCACATCAAGAATGCTGCTTCAAAGGAGTTGGTAGTGGGGGGTTTCACACATGAAAGCATACAGAGCCAAAAGATCAGCTAGGGTAATGTGGCTTCCCAATATACAAAGCTTTTGGGATTATTGTGAACAAAAAGCAACAAAGGAACAACCACCAATTTTAAGTGTGACTTTAATGGAAAATATGTAGTCTTTTAAAGGTTGAATGTCTGTTCTAGAATTTGTAAGAAGGGGTTCGAAAAATGTTGCAGGCCTCTTATTGGATTAGATGGTTATCATTTGAAAGGAGTGTATGTAGTGGCGGACCCATGATTTTTTCTATGTGTGGACGTAACAAAGATAAAATACAAGACACAAGTGCAAAAATGAAAGAGTAAAAAAATTCAATGCAAGTACAATCAATACAATTACAATTGTCCTATAGGTGTTTTCATGTTCTGAAAATGCTTAACAATGAGCTCATTATCGATGTCATTGAAGATGTCTTTCTCAAGATATACAACCAAGCTATCATCCATTGATCTCCCATTCGATTACGCAAACGGTTCTTAACAAAGTTCATACAAGAGAATACCCTTTCTACAAAAGCTGTAGCAACTGGAAGTACTAATGCCAATGTTATGAGCAAATAGACTAATGGATGTACTTCGTGCTTTCTTGTCTCAACTAATTTTTTTTGTAAGATCAGAAATTTCATTCAATTCTTGAAACTTGGTATCGGAATATATGTCGTCAATATAATTCTCAAGTTGAATTTCAAGTGCCATGAGTTGTTTAGTAGAAAATCACTTAGATAAAGTTCAACAACACGTACCAATTTTTGCTTATTAAAAGCAGAAAATGAATTATTCAGAATTAAGCATGCCAAGCAAAGTAGCAACTCAGTGTTAACCTCTGTGAAATGATTCCTTAGCTCTTGAAGTTGCAAATCTATCACATTATAGAAAAGATCAACACAATAAAAATGCATATTTTTAATTTGTTGTGCCCTATGTTGTGATCGCCCTCGAGCTACAAACATATCATCCATGTTAGAAACTTCAATATTTTGTTTCATACAAAAAAGGGAAACTTTCTTTAATAAAGAATCTCATCCATTGTCTCTCATATTCTACAGGTTTCGCTTGCATATTTCAACTAAATCCATGGCATTTATAATATCTTGATCATCCCTTTGTAAGGCTTGCAACAACTCATTTTTAATTCCAAGTATAATCATCATCAAGTGCAAACTGAACACAAAATCAAATGATTGCAGCAATCCTAACAAAATAAATGCTACATGTTTCGGATCAATGCCCACTCTATCATATGAAATTTCCTCCAATACATCAATTATAGATGAAAACATGGCAACAAAGTTAAGCAAAGTACCATAGTGTGAGGTATCACATGGACGTCTAACTCCAAGTTCTTGATTTAAGCGTTGCCTGCTTGAGAGCTCACCATTGCTAAGTGCTTCAATAACTTTGAGGGCTTGTTTTTCTCGAAGAATGTCACGACGCTTTAATGATGCCCCAACAATATTTAGCACATTGGAAACTAAGGTGACGAAAGCACCTATTATGCTATGGTCTTTTGCCAAAGATACAAGAGCCAATTGAAGTTGATGAGCAAAGTAGTGAACATAAAAAGCACGTGGACTATCTTTCATAATAAGTGTTTTCAAACCATTGAACTCTCCATTCATATTACTTGCCCCATCATAACCTAGACCACATAATCGAGATATGAGAAAATGATGTCTAGCAAATAACGCATCAATTGATGTCTTCAATGAGAGAGCTGTTGTACTAGCCACATGTTCAATACCCATGAAACATTCAATCACATACCCTTTGTTATCAACATGACGAAACATAACAACCATTTGCTCCTTAACAGATACATCACGATATTCATCAACAAGAATAGAAAACAAGGAATAACCAATATCACTTATAATAACATTAGTTGTTTCAACTGCAGCAGCATTTACAATGTCTTTTTGAATCTTTGGTGATATCAACTTGAGGTTATCAGGAGCATATTTCAGTGTTACAGCTTGAAACCGTTCATTGTGATCAACAAGGAATTGTAAAAGCCTAAGAAAGTTTCTTTGGTTGCTTGAATTCTCATACTCATCATGACCACGGAAGGTAAGACGTTGTATTAAGAGAAATCGAATAGAATCAACGGAAGCACACAATCTAATTCGATAATCAATTCGAGATTGAACTAAACTCTTGTGAAAAACATTTTCAATATGTAGTTTTTGTTAGAGTTTGAGTGGGAAAAGAGTTTTATACACTCTTTATAAGAGTAGGGATCTTTAATTATAATAAACAAATTAAGTTTTTCTGAAGTGGGCTTTGGACTTGTTGCCCTTATTTAAATTAAATATATATTTTTATATATTTAAGTTTTTGAACTTCGGATAACTTCATTTAGTTTGAAATTCAAAGTTCAGACATATATGCTTGAACAGATATGTCCAAGGGGTGTCTTAGGCTTATTTAAATAGCCAAACGTACGGAGAACAAAAAGAAAACTTTGAAACCTAATACATCTCACACTCTACTGAAAACCATTGAAAGTACCCATACTGTAGTTCGCTAGATACCAAAATTCAAGTGCTAGAATTTTGGTTTTGATAGTTGTATCCTGGTGGACAATCGTCTGCAGAACCACAAGCACAGGAGTGGGGGCGAAATACTGTCTAAGGAAATAGCAAATCTGCTGGCCTCTATCATCTCTGCAAGTTAGTATTTTTGGTTAAAACAACTCTTGTACCCGTAATTTTCTGCTATCATATATATATATATATATATATAGGTAGTGAAGACTATAGAAAATTAAAACATTAAGTATCAACACAAAGATATGATATAAGCATGCAATTCACAGCCACATCTCTGACTTGAACAAAACTTTCTGCATGAAAATTAAAATATTAAGTATCAACACCAAGATATGATTAGTGTCCATGACAAGTCATCTAGTACAACTTTCTGCAAATATGAAACACAGAATCTGAAAATCTTTTTAAAGCAGTTTGTGTCACACTCCGGACCCAGGAGTCAGTGGAAATCCCGCGCCCGGTGCTTGAGAAAATAAAAAGTAAAATAAAATAAAAAGAAGCCGAAACATGGGTTTAAAATAAACTTCTCTTATAAAAATAGATCCAAAATCTTACAACTTTACAATAAATAAATAAAGCTCAATCATTCTCATCTAATTCAACCTCAACCGATTTAGTCCTTATCTTGCCCACTAATTCATCTGAAAAATTTAACAGGATGATGGATGAGCAACCACCGCTCAGTGAGTAGATTATGCAATATGTCAGTCAAGCAATGCCGTTTTACACACTCTAGAAAATATGATGAAAAGATACGTCAATCCAAATCATATCACATCATCCATTCATATCTCGGTTATCCCTCATAACATTTAACCAACCACGTGACCCTTATTGGCCTCACTACCCTATGTCCCCGTGTGGTACATCTATCCCTCGGATACTCCAACTTTGAAGTTCTTATATTCCATGAATAATACATGCTTAATAAATATTCCAATCAATATATATATATATATATTGTGAAAGATTGCATCAAATTAGACATACTTGACTTGAAATAGAGATATATTTGTAAATAGAACAAATCCACGATAATTCATGGTTTTCATATTTTATCACAAAATAAACACTTTTACAACACATTACATAAACCACTCACCTCGATAATGAGAGCCCTTAAAATAGATTGGCAAGACAACCCATTTACCTATCTTCATGTACTATCACCCAAACCAAGCTCCAAGAGTTTCATCACCACTCTCTCTCATTCTTTCTAATTTCTCATGTTTTGAAACTATAAGGTTACACTCCTATTTATAGTGTTTATAGGAATAAGATAAACTTCAATATTAAAAGGATAAGAACTTCCAAGTTTATCCAAAAGATAAATGTCTTAAAAATATAAGATCATCCAAGTTATCCAAAAGATAAATATCTTAAAAAGATAATATCATCCAAGTTTATCTAAAAGATAAATATCTTCTTTTATCCGTTTAAAATATGAGTCTTCACAATCTATCCTCCTTAAATGAAATTTCATCCTCGAAATTTATAGCATCTTCCCCAAGACAATTTGCACATAAAAATCTTTGTCACTACATGAATTCAAGTTTATCTAACACAAATGTTTAAACCACAGTGTTCCCAAGCGTATCTAATTCCTAGGCTCTGATACCATTTTGTCACCCCTGGACCCGGGAGTTGGTGGAAACCCCACGCCTGGTGCGTGAGAAAATAAAAAGTAGAATAAAATAAAAAGAAGCCGAAACATGGGTTTAAAACAAATTTCTCTTATAAAAATAGATCCAAATCTTACAACTTTACAATAAATAAATAAAGCTCTATCACTCTCATCTAATTTAGCCTTAACCGATTTAGTCCTTATCTTGCCCACTAATTCATCTGAAAATTTAAACAGGGTAAGGGATGAGCAACCACCTCTCAGAGAGTAGATTATGTAATATGCTAGTCAAGCAATGCCGTTTTACACACTCTAAAAAATATTATGAAAAGATACATCAATCCAAATCATATCACATCATCCATTCATATCTCGGTTATCCCTCATAGCATGTAACCAACCATGTGACCCTTATTAGCCTCACTGCCCTATGTCCCCATATGGTACATCTATCCCTCGGATACTTCAACATTGAAGTTCTCATGTTCCATGAATAATACATACTAAATAAATATTCCAATCAATATATATATAGTTTGAAAGATTGCACCAAATTATACATGCTTGACTTGAAATAGAGAGATATTTGTAAATAGAACAAATCCACGATAATTCATGGTTTTCATATTTTATCACAAAATAAGAACTTTTAGAATACATTACGTAAACCACTCACCTCGATAATGAGAGCCCTTAAAATAAATTGACAAGACAACCCATTTACCTATCTTCATGTACTATCACCCAAACCAAGCTCCAAGAGTTTCATCACCACTCTCTCTCATTCTTTCTAATTTCTCATATTTTGAAACTATAAGGTTACACTCCTATTTATAGTGTTCATAGGGATATGATAAACTTCAATATTAAAGGATAAGAACATCCCAATTTATCCAAAAGATAAATATCTTAAAAACATAAGATCATCCAAGTTTATCCAAAAGATAAATATCTTAAAAAGATAATATCGTCCAAGTTTATCGAAAAGATAAATATCTTCTTTTATCCATTTAAAATACGGGTCTTCTCAATTTTTCATACGCTTGGCATGCATTCAAAGAACAAACAGCCACAAACAATCATATACAAAATCAACCCCATATTTTGGTCACCTGGAGACCCATCATTTGGGAAAAACCGGGGGTCGTCATCTGACCGTGCAATCCACTAAGCAAAGAAGATTTTTACAAAAAAATCAATCACAAGCTCTAGAAATCCTAGGTCTATTTAGGAAATGAGCACTACCTCCCTGTGCAACCATTTTCTTCAACTTTGTTGAGCTAGTACTTCATGTAAGTGGCAGCTAGTCCATCAACTCATTCACTCCATGGCACTGTAAGTCAACTCCGATTTGAACTGAACAATGAAATGTAGATTCAAAACTGGAGAGGACCGAAACCTTCAAGAAACTTTAATCTTGAAGAAATCAATCAAGAATTTGATATAGACTTAAGAAGATGACTAGTTTACATGAACTTAGATGCAGATTTCAAAAACCATTTTTAAAAATCTCACATTCAACAACACAGACTTCACAAAGGATGAATTTAGAAAAACATTTTTCAAAAGCTCATAATGAAAACTCATACTTCATCAAGTAGTTGTTGCCTCCTCTTAGCTAAGCTTTTACCCAAAGCAAGTAGGTGAAAATTTAATGCACCTGGCAGCCAACGATTGGTGTAATAATAGGACAAAAATTGTTTGGATAGAAAACCTACAACTGGAAATAGACTGGATTCACGTGAAAATAAAAATCAGGTGGCAGCACACATGTTACTCAACATATGACTTGTCATCCAGGTTGACTACTCATACCAACTATCATTTAAATGCATGTATGATTTTTACCTTTAGCAATCTTGATTCCATTCGAGCCATGATAAGTTTGAGCTCAATTTCTTTAATCATCTTGAGTGTAGACTTAAACTAGCCTAAATTTTTTGAGCTTAATTGTTTACATATGATATTACAAGTTTGTCAAAGAAAACTAAAAACATTAGTTTTGGGTGCCTTTTCATCCCATCATTGTAATCGACATATGTGTTACCAAACCGAACATTATCTAGAATTCCATTCCAAGTTTCTAGGAATGACCATGGAAAGTATCCCCTTCACTTTGACACCATTCCTAAAAAGAGAAAGGAAAAAGTTAAATGTATTGCTGTTAGTCACATGAATCAATAGCTCAAATATAGGTGACGATTGTAGTGGTCAATTCTATGGGTATCATTAAGGGCATCCATAAGTGATAATTTGGGATCATTGAACTTATCCACACCTACAATAAAATCCATTGTTATGCAGTTTTAAATTTAGCCTTGTAGCAGTAATGTGAGTAACATACAATAAAATCCATTGTTATCACTACTACAAAATAACTCTTGCGCGACCAAATTTTGCGCGACGAAAAATTATTCATCGCTCAAAGTCACTTTGCGGGACGAAACTCAAAACTTCGTCGCTAAAAACCTTGCGCGACGACAAATAATTCGTCACACAAAGTGACTTTGCGCGAAGATAATACGTCGTCGCGCAAAGTCTTAAGCGACCAAATTTTGCGCCACCAAAAAAATTCATGTGACCAACTTTTGCGCGACGGAAAAAAATTCTTCGCGCAAAGCGCTTTTGCGCGACGAAAAACAATTAGTCGCTCAAAGCTACTTTGCGCGACGAAAATCATTTCGTCGCGCAAGGCTACTTTGAGCGACGAAACAACAAAACTTCATCACGCAAAGTCCTTATAAAATAAATAAAAAATATATTTTTTTAAAAAAATATTTGTTAGAAAAATATATTATTGTTGTTTGGATTGGGTTTTTATTAGAAAATATATTTTTAAAATTGACGATCGAATTAGTTCATTGTATTCATATAGGGTCAAAGAGTGTAGCTATAAAAAAATCATCAAAATCGGAGTTAAAATAACTGTTAAATCGTGATTTTTCATGTATAACCGTCGAAAAGTTTTGTCTCATTACTTGATCTCTGAATGAAATTGACGATCGAATTAGTTCATTGTATTCATATAGGGTCAAAGAGTGTAGCTATAAAAAATCATCAAAATAGGTGTCAAAATAACCGTTAAATCATGATTTTTCATTTATAACTGTCGAAAAGTTTTGTTTCATTACTTGATCTCTGAATGTTTATTTTTTTCAATTTTTGGCATATATGATCTCGAAGTATAAAGAAACAAGTTGACGGTTGTATCGTTCAAACTAGTTTCGTAGAATGTGTATGCCATCAAAACAATATATTCACTAACAATTAAGAGTTTATTTATACTTTTATTAAATATAACATAAGATATTGTGGTATCCACTAGTGTAAATATTTTAAATTGAAGATCAAATTAAGTCATTGTATTCATATAGGGTCAATGAGTGTAGTTATAAAAAATCATCAAAATCGGAGTTAGAATAACCGTTAAATCGTGATTTTTCATTTATAACCGTCAAAAAGTTTTATCTTGTTACCTAATCTCTGAATGTTTTAAATTCTGAATGTTTATTTTTTCGATTTTTGGCATATATGATCTCGAAGTATAAACAAACAAGTTTGATGGTTGGAT